GGCTGTCCATGCAGCTATACTGAGTCCAGTGAACAAAACCGGAGCACGGGCAAAGAATGCCCAATAGCTATCGCCAGCTCCGGGGGCAGAGTTAAGGGGATGTGGACGTTCGCTCAGTGAACTAGATGCTCTGAAGGGACACAAGATGCCTCCAGGCAGCCTTAACTCAGCATCAGCTATAGTTCTGGGTTTGGGGCCTGCCCGCGCGGTGCACGTGGCTCTCAGAGGCAGTCAGGCCTAGTGCAGTGACCTGAGTGGCATTGGTCTTGGTGCGAGAGGCAGTGTTCCCTCTAATCTTTTCCATCCACGTGTGGAATAAAATGTATGCGCACCGAGGCATGTGCAGATGTGCACCGCCAGGAAAAACACAACCCTCGCTGTGGGCGCTCCGCTAATCGGTTGGGTGGCACTGGACTGTGGCCTAGAGATGGCTGTCCCCAGGGTACCACAAGTCGGCCTCACACCAAACACTGCAGGGTGGCACAGATGCGACCCCGTCCCAGCATGGCAATCAGCGCCCATCCCTCTCCCCGATGTGCCTCTCTTGGGGCCAGGCCCCTCCTGGAATGACTCCCGTTAGCTCCCCAGGCTTTGGATCTCCAATCCGGCTCCCTGCTGGCGGGATCAGGCCCTTCCAAGCGAGAAACGGTTTTCTCACCGTTTGCCGTTTAAAGCTCCATTTTGCTAACTTGCTTTGTTTTCATGTCGATTCCAGACAGGTTCCTGGCAGTTACTTACAGCGAGAACAACCCAAAAAACTCCCCCCCCCCCCCCCCTAAGGTCTAATTTAAATGAGTGCTATCATTCCATACTGGGGCTTTTTTGGTCTTAAACAGAGAGGTTGCTCCGTCTCGGTCCCCTTTCCAAGAGCTGTGTGATGAGGCCGCTGTTTAAAACCAAGCGCCGCCTCTCTGGAGATCAGTAACCAGCCGGCTTCCATGTTGAGTCACAGCGGCCTGGCCGGATCCTGGCGTTTCTCTGGGCGTGAGCAGGGGCAGCGCTCGGCTGGGTGTCGTGTGTCTGTCAGCAGGGACGAGGAGGGTCCCAGCCCATCAGAGTGTTACTTGCTCACTCAATTTGGACGGCCAGTTTGAGACTCTTGCTTATGTACTCTCTAAGGGGGGGTTATCTCACCATGTGCACGTACAGCGCCAGGCACAACAGGGCCCTGGTCTCAGCTGGTGGTAGAGTAATTCAAGTACTATACTGTCCATAGAAAGCAAATGCATTGGTAATGGGAACTCACTCCAAAATCAGTGTGACATTAGTGGAAAAGCTTTTCCTAGCATCCCTGGGGGGCTGATTTCCAGGGGTGCGCTACACCCGTGTGCCCTCCAATTTTTTCCATCCATGGGCAGAATGAATTTTGTTGCATGCGCAGATGTGCACCACCTGTAGAAACAAACGTTGCCAATGGTGGGAGCTCTTCTCACCAGCTGGGTGGCAGCTGAATCTCCCTTGTGCGGCTGCCCAAGCGCACAGCTTACAGGGAACACTGCTCAGCACCTGCTGACCCCAGGTGTGGGTGTCCCACACATGTGCCAAGCCTTTCCGATGTACACCTTTGTGCCGATGGGCTCAGTGTATTCCCGGGGTGGGTGTATTTCTTTCCCTGGGCACAGCGTCGAGTGTAAAACACCTTGGCTACGTCTAGACTGGCATGATTTTCCGCAAATGCTTTTAACGGAAAAGTTTTTCCGTTAAAAGCATTTGTGGAAAAGAGCGTCTAGATTGGCACGGACGCTTTTCCGCAAAAGCACTTTTTGCAGAAAAGATTTGCGGAACAGAGCGTCTAGATTGGCACGGACGCTTTTCCGCAAAAAAGCCCCGATCGCCATTTTCACAATCAGGGTTTTTTTGCGGAAAAGAGATCTGAGCTGTCTACACTGGCCCTTTTGCGCAAAAGGACGTTTGCCCGAACGGGAGCAGCATAGTATTTCCGCAAGAAGCCCTGATTTCAGACAGTAGGAAGTCAGCGTTCTTGCGGAAATTCAAGCGGCCAGTGTAGACAGCTGGCAAGTTTTTCCACAAAAGCAGCTGCTTTTGCGGAAAAACTTGCCAGTCTAGACGCAGCCCTTGAGTTATACAGCGGTTGTGCCTGGTACACTCTGTTCCTATGAAATACGCACACACGGCGTGCCGGATTTACAGATTTTTGTGTAGAAAGGCCCTACCCACAGGCTGAGGTTATACATTTGGCCGTGTGACACTGGACTCCTGCCTGGCGTATTCCAATCTTATGCTGCAAAGCCAATCTCATGCCCCCCCCTCCCCTTCGTGCAGCCGTAACCTTTGCTGCTGCTTTGCTTCTGGAATAACCTGAGGATTTCGGCTCCCTGGGGGCAAGGTCCTTGCCGTTATGACTGGCTGGCCTCCTTTACTTGCGCACATTAGGCCAAAGCGCTGGTCTGCAGCCCGGTGGCTCTTCCTGCTGTGATTGTCGGGGGAAGGTCGAAGAACTCAGCGGAGCTTGCAAAAGCGACAAGGAGTCCTGTGGCACCTTATAGACTAACAGATGTATTGGAGCATAAGCTTTCATGGGCAAAGACCCACTTTGTCAGATGCATGTCAGCGGAGCTTGGCGTGCAAAGGGCCGGCCTGCACCGTACGTCCCACATTTGGGGACTGTCATGGCCCCTGGGCGCACAGTGTCCCCTGGAAAGAAATGTGCAAAATGCAGGATCCACGAAGGTGTCTTGGGAATACAGAGCAGGGAGATTGCAAACCCAGGGCTACGTCTAGACTGGCATGATTTTCCGCAAATATTTTTAACGGAAAACTTTTCCGTTAAAAGCATTTGCGGAACAGAGCGTCTAGATTGGCACGGACGCTTTTCCGCAAAAGCACTTTTTGCAGAAAAGCGTCCGTGCCAATCTAGACGCAGTTTTGTGCAAGAAAGCCCCAATCGCCATTTTTGCCATCGGGGCTTTTTTGTGCAAAACAGTTTTTCGCTGTCTACACTGGCCCTTTTGCACAAAAACATTTCCGGAAAAGGGCTTTTGCCCGAACGGGAACGTCAAAGCATTTGCGCAAGCCCTGATTTCGGACAGTAGAACGTCAGTGCTTTTGCGCAAAATCAAGGGAACCAGCAGATGGTGGGATGTGCTTAAAATGCGGGATCAGAGTGGGCATTGGACTAAGGTAGGGTGCGGTATGACCCTTGGGGAGCAGGGCAAAGCATCCACCACCTGAAACTGTCTACTGGGGTCAGGTCTAGCCCATGGCTTGGTGTTGCTGCCCAGGCCTGGGAGAGCCCCGCATGGTTAGATGGGAACACCTTGCCCCCAGCACCCCATCCCGCCCCTCACGGCTCGGCTCTTCTGTTCCAGACAAGAAGCTCGCGGCACTCCCAGGGCTCCCAGTCCGGCCTGGCCGATCAAGCCAAGCTCTCCTTCGCCTCCGCCGAGTCCCTGGAGACCATGTCTGAAGCCGAGCTGCCCCTCGGATTCAACAGGATGAACCGGTTCCGGCAGAGCCTGCCTTTGTCCCGCTCCACCAGCCAAACCAAGCTCCGGTCGCCAGGTACCGCAGGCCGGCTCCCGCGGGGGCCTTTTCACCCTCCGCTCCACCCATCCCTGGAGCATGTGTGCGCCTGTCTCCCTCTAGTGGCTGGCTCCCCTGCATGCACCAACCTATTACTGCCTAGCAGCTGAGGGAGCCACTCCTTTAGCGGTGGGGCCTCTGGCGACCCCCTGACATAAGTACGTGTCAGAGGGGCAGAGATCAATGGGAGGGGATCCAGGAATTACCACCCTGGATTGGATCAGACCGGGGCCCATTGTGAGTAGCCAGGGCCAGCTATTGTGCTGGAGGCCTTTGGGAGCTACTGCGTCCATAGGAGGAGAAGCCGCTTCCTAAACCCGGGTTGGGCCAGGATTTGACTTTCTGATCTGCAAACTCTGGTCACTCACCGGTCCCTGGCCCCGCAGCTCCACTGCCCGCTCTCCAGCAGCACCGGGCTCTAGCCAGGCACACGCAGGCCAGGCGCTCCCAGCCAGCCA